TATGCCCCCCCCCCACACACACACAGCTAATGGTATGATCCATTCTTGAGAAGACAATAGCATGAGCTGAATGAAGGAGGACAGTTAACAGAGCAGAGGACTGATTTTACATCAGTTAACCCTTTTTTCACACCATGATTCAAAATAAAACAAACATTTGTCAAATATGGTGTTTTGCTCCTCCAACTGAAGTATTCTTCTTCACATATGGACTTTTACTTCAGTGTTCAATAATTTCATCAGGATTACTAAATGAACGTATATTAAACTTTGAAGAAGGTGCACAAATAAATTAGGTGTAAATTGTATTTAAGTACTGAAGATTAATCAGTTGTTCACGAACTACTGTATAACCCTAATTGATTTATTTTAACAAAGTTTAAAAAATCAAAATTGTTGGCAAAACTGCTATGTAAAAGGGGACCTATTATGCAAAATTCACTTTTTAAAGGTTTTTTTTACTCAAATTTGGGTATGTAGTTCTTAAAAAACAGTCCTAGAACCAAAAAGTGCACCCAGGGGCATATTTACTGTAAGTAAATGTATTTTTAATGTGTATTAAYGACAAGTTTTATACGTCCTACATTTTGTGATGTCACAAGCCRTACGACAACCCACCAGAACCTGCGTTCAGCCCCTTACCTAGCAACCCTCAGGTGAGACTCCTCCWCCTCAGTATAAAAAGCTGTCACGGTGTTGTTGTGTAATGTGTAGCTCATTTCACAACAAGCCTCCAATAGGGCAATGGGTAGAGTGTTGGACCAGAGAGTGGGAGACCAGGGTTCAAGATCAGCATGGATACTATTTAATTATTTATTTATTTTCGTTCGTTATGAACACGTTTTCTCATGTACCTCTATTGTTTAGCTTATTAAAGCCTTGTTAAAGCCTATTTGTTTGAGTTTCTGAGGTATTTTGACCGCTGCTGCTCCCTGCTCTGGTAACAGCATGCAGAGTGAGCGCAGAGCAGAGGAGGGAGAGAAAAAAAGAAGCTGGGACCACGACTCTGCCTCTGGGTCTCATATGGTTGTACAACAGAGCTTCTGCTATTATTAGCCATGCTAACGTAAACACTGGCTTTGGAGGGCGGAGTTAATGTCAACAGATTTTTGGAGGGCGTTACCAACAGAGCTCATTAACATAAACAGCTCTTCTGAACAGAAGTCAGAGCAGGCAGAAGTATCCATCCACCCATTTTCTGTACACACTTCTTCCTTTTCAGGGTCGTGTGGGTCACTGGTGTCCATATCCAGCAGTCACAGTGCGAGGGGCGGGGTTACACCTGGACAGGTCACAAGTCCACCACAGGGCCACACATATAGAGACAAACGAGACAAACAACCATTCACTCTCTCACTCACACCTAGGGACAATTTAGAGTTATCAATTAACCTAACAGTCATGTTTTTGGTCTGTGGGAGGAAGCCGGAGTACCCGGAGAGAACCCACGCATGCACGGAGAGAACATGCAAACTCTACCCAGAAAGGTCCCCGGACCGGGATTTGAACCGGTGACCTTCTTGCTGAGAGGCATCAGCTCTACCAACTGAGCCACCGTGCCGCCCATATGTATGTATATATGTAATATATGTAATATATGTTCGTATAAATCCAAAAATATTATTTCACTGATTTATCTTTTAAGGCTTAATTTAAACATAATGTAGTAACATAATTTTGTGAACGTTAATGTGCACTCACACAATAGTGATCCTGTTTCTCTTTTGTTTTTCTTTGACTATTTATTTATTTGGCATATGTATTTAGTCATTTTAGATCGTTAAAAAAGATAGTAACAAATTCCAAATGTGTTAAATAAAAGAACTTTAATGAATGCTGGAATTTTGGACAAGTGTTCTAACAGTATCCATCAACATTCTTGAAGAAATGGTCAGTTTTATTTTTACGTGCTCTAGTAGGCTTTTTTTTTTTTGTCTCGACACCGTTTAGATTGTGTATAACTAACAGGCACTCCCCAGACTGGGGCACGTCCCTAGCACCCACCTCTCTCAGGAAGTCTCACTAACAGCAGAAAAAAGTCACTGTATCATTTTTGCTGCTCGGTTTTCTTGAAACAGTTACTAAAGGGTTTGAAAACTTGCTAAATACAGTGATTAATTRGCTAAATTAACACCCCTGTGTTCGGCAGTCTACCAGCTCAGTCAAAAAAATAAAATAAAATAAAGTCTGGTCACGACGGTTCTGATCTGTCCGCAGCTCAGCCCTGGAGACACACCTCCACCTGTGAACAGAACTGAACAGAGAGATAGTTGACACATGGGGGGCGGGGTCGGGTCCAGGGACTCYGATGCACAGTGGGTTCTGCTATGAGCTCCTTCCTGGTCCCAAGCACTGACAGAAGGATCAGTCGTCATATAACATGGCTCTCAGCTGCAGAACACCTGCTGCTGACTGATCCATGATGTGATGTAAATGTAACATTATCTATAAATTAATCACTGCAGTAAAATAACTTTGTGTGTTTTTGTCACTTTTACAGTGGATTGCATCAACTCTGTTACATCCAGAAGGGAAACTTCACCAAAGTGAAACATAAATCTGTGGATCTGTGTTTGATTACTCTGCCTGGCTTTCTCAAGGACCAGGATGTGACACAAACATCTGAATTATGGAACTGAAAGTGAAAGTAGTCAAACTGAATTTTTAATAAACCAAAATACAGTTTCAAAGCAAATTAATTCAAATTCTAAAGATGAAATTCAGTTTACATTTAGAGAAATTCATTTTCAAACCAATGCATTCAATTTCAAATTATGCACAATCTGAGCTATTCAAATTCAGTTCCTGCTGGCGCAAGATTGTTCCCATACCACCCCTCCCAGCAGATCAGATGGTTGAACCCCTCCCCCCCAACAAAACACATACAGCACCCTCCCTCTCCCTCCAGGTCTGAATGGCTGAATGAATGAGGTAGAAGGGCTGACGTTGATTCACTTGTGTTCCTGAAAAATCTTTGCAGCAACTAAAACTCTGAGCTGATTTGATTCTCAGTTGATGCTTTTCTGGGTTGAACTTTAATTCTGACAGCTGGGAACGCTGGTTGCAGAGCAGACATGAAACTTTTGCTGCTGCTGCTGCTGTTTCTGATGCAGCAAGCTGCAGCTCAGCAGAGAGGTCAGATGATTTCTAACTTTACTAAGTTTTACTGTTCTAGTGTCATGTGTTACTTTAAAGCTGTTAGATTTATTAGTCAAGTTTTTATAAATGGTTTTATGTCCAGTCAAATCATCCAAATGGTTAGACTGATGAAATTTAGTGTTGCAGATGTTCTCATCTCTACACTTGTCTGAGTTGTTGCTTTTTGGATTCAAGTTTGAATCAAAATGGATGAATTACATTTTTCTTATTTTGCATTTGATTTTAGGTTGTGAAATAGTTTCTGAAGTTCTGCAGCCTGTAAGCTTTGTGTGTGTAGTTTTTAAAGTTTTATCTTTGCCATGTGACTCCAGATAAACATGTCTTTGTTTTGTCTTAAGTTGAGTTCAGTTTGTTCTGAATGCAAACATTCATGGTGTGTCTTGATTTAAACTTTGTCAGAAAGTTTTTTGGAAAGTCTTTTAGACTTGCATGTAAAATAAAACAGCTACTACTGAGCTTTTATTTATTAAAGATAAACCTTTCAGTTTTCATTGTAAATGACTGCATCAGTCTCCTAGCCCACACACATATGCATAAAACCTCCCCCACAGAATGTGTGTGTGGTGGGGGAGGGGTCAGAGGTTATTCTGAAAGAAGTCCAACTTATTATTCACTTCTTATGAATGAACCAAATACTGTATAATTGTCTTACTTCCCCCAGGTGAAATCTGGTCTAATTCTAAATGTGATCTTGAGTCTTGTTTAGATTTGAACCTGTGGCTCTTTGATTCTGACTGTCAGACTGCATGCAAATTTGGCTCAAGTCCAATATTTTTTGTCTCTATGTGACCCATATTCAACTTTTCTAAGACAGGCTGAACATAATAAATCTGATTTTTTTCTTATCATATTTTGGTCTTTTCAATAAGTCAACCAATCAATCAAGTTTATTTGTATAGCACATTTCAGCAACAAGGCAGTTCAAAGTGCTTACACCATAAAAAATAGATAAATAAAAATCAGTCATAGAACACAGTTAACAACTGAAGCACTACAGTTTGTCAGGTGACATCATTCAAAATGTTGATTAATGTTTCATTTATTATGTTTCATAAGCAACTCTAAACAGGCGGTTTTCAGTCTTGATTTGAAGGAACTCAGAGTTTTGGCTGTTTTGCTGTTTTCTGGGAGTTTGTATAAATACATAAATAAACATACATACATAAATACATGCTGTAATAGAGCAGCCAGCAAGAGGCATGTTCAAATACAAACACTAAATAAGCAGGTCAGAAAATTATTTTAATCAGATACTGTATATATCAGAACATTTAAATGTCAATGGCAAATTCATTCTGACACTGAAGAATGAAAWAACTTAAATAAATTGTACATTAAGTTATCAAATCTGTCTTTGAGAAAACATAAGGGCTGTAATGTAAATTCATTATGACAAAAATAAAATGGGTAGAAATGCAAAACTTTCAAAATGATCATAACATGCTATGTGTGTTTAAACTGAAATAAAGTAACTGCATGTTCTGGATATTCACTTAGGGAAAAAACTGCACAACATTTGAACCCTAAAGAACCACACATGATGGCACATTGACAAAAGAACTGATCATACTTTTATGAACAGTGAATGGTCCACTGCTCCTGGTTTATGGACCTGACAGTTCAACATACTTCACTAGCCCAAATGTGTGCTGTAAGCCAGATAACCAGTCAGCCCTGTCTGTCTTCAGGAAAAACAATCCAAAAAGTGTGAAAATAGTGTTTCTTACAAAAGAAAATTCAGATAAACCTTAAAAACTTGCTGCTCATCTACAAACAGAAYTGATTTAGGGTTCTGAACATTAGCAGCAGCTCTCAGTGTTTGTTTGAAAGTGAGACCACCCAAAATGTTTACAAACCTCCACAGCTGATCACACAAACTCAGYAGGGGAGACTGGGGACAGTTGCAACACTTTTTACATTTGACTCTGTTACTCAGAGATGGTTTGAATAAGACAAACCCAATTTTAATACAATAAACTTACATCTGTCTGTTAATTGTTAAAACCATTTACAGATGATTAAA